GCACCATGCTGTTTTTGTTACAAGGGTTCTGCAGTACGTTTTGAAATCAAGTACGTGATGCCTTCAGCACTACTCTTTGGGCTCAGGATTACTATGGCTATTCGGGGTCTTTTGTGATTCCACGTGAATTTTAGTTTTTGTTTTTTTCCTAGTTCATGTCGTTGGTATTTAGATGGGAGACTACCCTGGATCTGTAGATCCCCTGGGTAAGTGTGGTGATCTAGCAATACTAAGTCCCCCAATCCATGAACATGGGCTATCATTCCACCTTCTAGTGTCTTCAGTTTCTTTCTTCTTTGTTTTGTAATTTTCACTGTATAGGTCTTTCACATCTGTAGTTAGGTTTATTACTTAGGTGTGTGTGTGTGTGTGTGTGTGTGTGTGTGTGTGTGTGTGTGTTTTGGGGGGTCCATTGTGAACAAAATTACATTACTGATTTCTTTCTCAGCAAATTTATTATTGGTTATATAGAAAACTTATGATTTTATATGTTGATTTTTGTATCCTGCTACTTTCCTGAATTTACATATCAGTTCTAAAAGTCTTTTTTTATAGTTTTAGAATTTTTTTCCATACAAAGAACCATATCACCAGAAAACAGGAATAATTTGACTCTGTCTTTCCTGCTTGTATCCCTTTTATTTCTTTCACTTGCTTAATTGCTTAAGCCAAAATTTCTAGTACTGTATTGAATAAGAATGGTGAGATGAGCACCCTGTCTCCTTCCTGATCTTAGAAGAAATGCTTTCAGTCTGAAACGCTCATTCAGTATTATTTTGGCTATGGGTTTATCTTTATTACGTTAAGGTATGATTTTTTTATACCTAATTTATTCAGGGCTTTTATCATGTCAAAGGCTTTTGCTACATCTATTGAGATGAACAGGTGATTTTTTTTATCTTTAGTTCCTTATATGTGCTATATTATGTTCATTGATTTGCAGGTGTCAAACCATCCTTGCATCTCTGAAATGAAACCAACTTACTCATGGTGTAGGATCTTTTTAATGTGCTAATGAGTTTGATTTGCGCGTATTTTATTGGGAATTTTGGCATCCATGCTATCAGGGATATCAATCTATAGTGTCCTTCTTTTGTTGTGTCTTTATCAGGTCTTGTTAGCAGGGTAATACTGACTTAGTAGAATGACTTTGGAAGGGTCCATTCTGTTTCTAACTTATGAAATAGTTTGAAGAGCACTGGTGTTCATTCTTCTTTAAAAGTCTGGTAAAATTCAGCCATGAATTAATTCAGTCCTGGACTTTTCTTTTTTGTGAGAACTTTTTGTTACTGTTTCAGTCTCAGTACTTGTTATTGATCTATTTGGTTTATTATATCTTCTTTGTTCAATTTTGGTAGACCATAGGATCCAGACCTTTTTTTTATTTATTGGCATAGATTGTTTTTCAAAATATTCCCTAACAATCCTTTTTTATTTACTTTCAGTGCCATCAGCTGTAATGTCACCTTTTTCAGTTCTGATTTTTCTTTTTTTAATTTTTTTAAAGAGAGAGAGAGAGAGAGAGAGAGAGAGA